TTTGACCCAGCGGTTGGGTTACTACCCAGAAGGTTGGGTTAAACATTTAACCCAACCGCTGGGTCAAAACAGCCCAATTGCTGGGTTTGTCCCTATTTTACCCAGCACTGGGTTGTATTTAACCCAGCATTTTTTAGAGTGTACCAGTAGGTGCAGCCCAAACTTTGACTGGTACTGTATAGTTATATCTGTATAAGGCAATAGTTTTTACATGTTGTTCATTCAAACTGTTGCTAATACCTTTAGGAATCCATAATTCTTTGTGGTTGCATTTAGTTTCTGCATATTCAAATTTGTCACAATAATGATACACTGGAGGACCAGAGGCCAAGTAACATTTTTAAGCAAACTGAAACCAAATTGCCAACGTTTAGAACTACACTAGCATATATATCCTTAAAGATAATTGACATAGAAAACAAAAAAGGCACCCTGGGGTCGACGGTGGCGCCGGCGCCACCACGTGCATGTTTTACTGATAAGAGCAAAAAGAACTTAAAATGCTTGTTAATTTTTGTTTGTGCACATAAGAGTAATACACCATTCGAATCTGTAAAGGGTGTACTGTTATTTGTGTACACTCACAATATCAACAAAACATTGTGCTTTTGCAAAATAAAGAAAATATACAGGGTGTGCTTTTAGCCGTCTCATTCTCCGCGCATATCTGTTTGAAACGCGTCACTAAAATGAACTGAAAGCTTGACATGTCTACTTTTAAACGAAGTAAGTCATGACGAAAACAAATATTATGTGACAAAGTAATCAGTATGAAACCAACGCGATGTCAAGTCTTGGCCGTCGCCCTCATTATCGCTAATATAACCACGCCCACGCGCCGATCGCGCTTTTAATATTACAATAGTCCACGTGAAACACGCACATGTAAACGCCCACATCACAGCTAACAAAGCAGAGACTTTCCCTCAAGTTCATCTCGGCTACTTCGCTTCTGGAAGAAGACGCGCTGAGAGAAATAAGCCCAAATTTACCTCAGAATAAGAATGCATCATGCAGCTAGATCCAGTGGAGAATATCACTCTGATAAGTAGCCTAAGATTACTTGCATCTGTTGTTATTTTGACATAACTTTTACACATTTTACTAGTTAGACTTTTCCAAACTATAATTCCTGACTACATGTATGAAATCAAGTGAAACATTTTGAAATATGTGTAATTTCATTGTCTAAATGTCTCACAACGACAGGATGTGTTTAATGTTTTATAACATATAAAACCACAAGATATAAAAGTAGTGTTAACACTATGATATTAGAGTCTATGAATGTTTGGCACAAAGGTGTGTTACTGTTGAAGTATCAGTGTTCAGATCAGTATGTTCAATCATGTGTCCTTGACCTTCACCGTGTATATTTTTATTATAATGTGTTGTAAATAAAATACAAACAATAATCAAAAACTCACTTTATTTTACTC